CTTTAGACTTGGGAATACATAATTATGTTAAGAGACCAAGTGATTAATGGATTTAAACAAAATCTTCAAAAGGCTACAATGGAAAAGAAAATAAATGTCTCTGATAGAATAGTAATCGATGATATATCAGCTATGTAAGTGTGTTAATGTTGTGTAGAATTAATAGACAATTTTTCTTAAATATAATATATATGTGTGTGTGTATATACAGCGTGTCGTTACCATCGCGACAGTAAATAAACACACATATAGGGGATAAGTTTTTAAAGTTGTATCAAAAATTTACATTCTTTAAACATCAATATTAACAGAGTTATTCAATTTTCCAAAACAAACAATTTTAGAACACCCTTACGTATAAAACTGTAACGTAAGGTTCATTTGTAAAGGTCACAAAGCATGTGAATGGGTTGAATGAATTAAAAAGAGATAAAATACATACTGTTAGGAGATTTGTAATGCGACGCTGTGGCAACGAATGAAAAAGTCAATGAATGTATGAATCAGTCAGTTGTAGTTGTATAGGATATTACAAATTTTGTTTCTTTTTTATTTAATTAGTTTGTACGAAAAATATTTTTTTTCAATTCTGGATTTTTTTTAAGCTTATATTTTTTATGATTATTGCAGACGTGTGTTCATTTATTGTCGCGGTTGTAACGGCACGCCGTATATGTATAATTATGAAATTTTTAAATATTAATAAAAAAAATATGTATCGTAATAATTCACTAATGTTTCAAAATACTGTCTCAATTATTCACGAGGTCCGTAACAAATATATTAGCCAAGTCAGCGACAACTTAATAAACTTAAAGAAAAAAAAAGTAAAATAAAAATAAAAACATCCCTAATATTAAAAGCTACTCTAGACCTCCTAACGCATAGAGACAACATACAGAAATCAATTAAATCAAAGCAACATCTAAATATGATTGAAAAGTACATACATAATTACGCACTTTAATAAAGATAATTTACGAGCACTCGGGAATTTACTGCAATGGTAATTAAGTATTATATACGAAAATATTAATCAGAATACATGACATTATAATAGTTATTGTGGAAAATTGGTGAATATTCGCGTTAAAACATAATATGATGTAACAGATAATGTTAACTACTTATACTATTTAGCTTAATTATACAGCTATGCAGAGTCCCGCGCATTTGAATGTCAAATCGAATAAAATACTTCCCGTTAAAATGTGGTGCATAAAATATAACAACTGTTATAAATCTTTTACAAATAGGTAGAAATATTTGCTTACTTTGTGACAATTGATCTGCCTGTCAGAAGAATATTTTAAGCAAGTCCTAATATAGGAAATTTTCCCTAGTATTTAATGGCATAATAATCAAGATAAGGCTGATTTACATAGCTGTGACATGAATAACTTTAAAAAAAAAAATTGGTGTTACTTTCTCTATAGTACCATCTCTTTGACCCTTTTAAAGCTTATTATAGATAACGCGGAATATTTTTACGCAGATTCTAAATATAGGTTAAACTATTTATTCTAGTGAAATCATTTGTCAAATTGAAACTTTTTCCGCAATATAGCCAAACGTAAACACTATAACTTGAACCTTATACTACACCGCATTTATACTATTTTTATGCTTTATTGTTATAGTCTCTGAAACCACTATTTCAGGTGCGTTTGAACGGAGAACACAAAAGTATTTATTACGGCTAAATATTAAGTGACATTATTACTATTTTCATTACTAACATTATGTTAAGTAATTTGCACTTTCATCAGCGTTTGTAAGCTATAATGTCCAAGGCCTCTCTGGGGATAATAAGGCGTTATTAAAGATTTAAATATAGTTACTTTTATAGAATGTTATTTTGGACAAAAAGTTCTTTTGATAACTTTACTTACAGTTGTTTAATTTCCTGAACAAACTAAGCTATTTAATTAAGCTTTAGGGATAACAACGTTGGCAATAACATTTTTATTTCATCAATTTAAAATCACAAATCTTATCTAAATAGTTGACACATCATTTTGTTAACAATCATTGAAAAAGTAATTAATACATGGTTAAAGTTCATTCCAAATTCATACAGCGTTGTATAGTGTTACTTAAAGTCTAAAAGACATCATAATTAAATTAATGCTAATGGATATTGCTTGGTATAATTTTCATTATGTCTTTGGTATGTGATGATTGCATTTGTATATCAAGATTTACAATATTTATTTTTCGTAAATAAATAAGTTACTAAATCATAACATTAAAAAAATATGAAATAGTTTCACTCACCTGTTTTTTTGTTTTATAAACCACTTTGTTTATTTTGTTTATTAGTCAGATTCACACACCACTTTGTTTATTTTGTTTTTATAATTTTCACATGGTTTAAATTGTGACAGATACAGATATAGTTAAATATACTTTTGTAAGTCATTCATGGTCGTTTGGCCAATTTTAGATTAGCATGACTATTTATTACTATAATAAATTTATTTTAATGCAGTTATACAATGAAATTTTAGAAGAAATAGGATAAGCAGCAGACTTTAAAACATTTAGGCAATAATGTTTAATAAACAAGTAGTTGCTTCTCAAAAAGTAAAAGTATTAATATAAAAACATGTATCATTGTCGATAACAAGTAAAAATGGTTGTCTTCAATAAAACACTTTTACCTGCTGGTTGAAAAATTAACTTAAATTCAATTTGTACCCTTATTGATATGTTTGACTTATAATGGTCACAGATATGAGGTGTTTATTAAATTATTATTTATATCAATGTAAAACAATCACTCGTGCCCTGCCGTATGATATAATCTTTCATTACGATTCGTTATTATATTTAAAGATGGGAGGGATAATGAAATAAGATCAAGTATAATGTACTGGTCACATTGAAATATTGTAAATATCTGGGTAGAATGTGGCATGAATCAAATATTTACTGCAAATAGAAAATATAATTCTATGTAATTTGTATTAATCCACAATCATTTTCCTGGCCTGCCCATTATAAGATAAATCCCACTAACAAAAAAGATTTAAACATAAATCTATAATACATATGTGTGTTTAAACATCAAAAATAATTATTTTTAATTTAACATGTCTGTTAATTACTGTTATTGTTATATTGAACAAGAGAATTATAAGACATTCAAGCAACATTATTCAACGCTGTTGTAAGTTAAATAAATATGTCAAAAACTATATTAAATTCTCATTGGCATTCATAGAATTACTGCCAAACGTCGTGATTGCGTGGGCGGTACAATATCACAGAAAAACATTTCTGCCATGATAAGGAGCTGCTTTCGTAACTACAGAAAACACTACGATTAAAAATATTGCTTCTACGTTAACTACAATTTCGCTAAAACATTTATATATTATGTCAGTTACGGCACGCGTCACGAGAAGTAAGAAATTTGATAATGAACAAAGGAGATACAAATGTGTATGTGTATTCATAATTTTATGAAATTTGCTATGGTGAGTGCACACTCCTTCGCTACATACAATACAAGTATAAAGAACCGAATGGTTAATCAATGCAACGCAAATAATGACATAAAAATGTTTAAATTCGGCAGCAGCCATCAAAAAGATAGCACGCACTTCTCAGAGAACGTGCCGCAACTGTTATAGTGGTATATAACAGGTATAACGTAACATTTAAAATAATAGCAGCGGTGACATCGAACATTAAGTAGTTTGAAATTGTCTGTAAAAAACACTTATTAGTGAAGTACCATGTATATACATCTTTAAAACCAGATACAGTTGTCGTTGCCGGTCGATTTGTTTCATTTTCGAATCGAACAATTCTTTTGCCAATTTTTTCAATTCCTTTTAAGACGTTTTGCGACTGTTTTAAGACAAATATACTTTAAAACAAATAACTTAATGTGCGATTATGCCCCATGCCGTAATATATATTGGGTATGGTGCCCAAAAGAAAAAAAATCATCCAATCCATTTTAAAGCGTTTATGTGCATAGCATTCAAATAACCTACCGCTTAAATTACCGTCAAAACTAACCCGTCGTCCTAAGTATGTGAGTTTTATTTGTTTGTTCATCAAACGCACACGGTACAGTTTGAAAATGAAAAGCATTAAGGCGAGAACAATATTCTGTGACAATAGAACGCACGAATTGACTGAATCGTATAACAATAGAAGGAACATTTTGAAAGCAAAATCACGAATTTAGAGAACATCGATATTAAAACATTTGTTCTGAACACTGTAGTCAAGAATTGGCCTGTATTTTGGTTAAGTCATGTGTACCGTGGCATGTTGTGACACTACACTATATTCGACGACTCGATGCTGTCTTTCCTTCATTTGAAATACTGTGTGAATTCTTAACACGAGTTGAGGTACAAGTGATTGGGCAGTAGATCAGAGCATGTGTTCACACACTTGTTAGAAGTAAACAGAACTAAATAATTAACAAAGCACTCGTGAGTAGTTATTAATAACACGATGTCACGCCCATCGAGCTATAGGCTTCCGTACTTAATGTATTTCGTCGATTCGTGCCATTTGAGCAGTAAACTTAATCGGCGATCGGGTATGGACGGTGTATCACTTTGCTACGGAGGCTCAATAAGCAAAGTAGATATCCCCACGCCACGCAACGCTCGGTGTCTACCGAAGTATACAGGTGTACCACTTCGCCGCGGAGGCTACCCAAACAATGTAGACATCCCCACGCCGTGCAAAGCTCGGTGTTTTCCGAGGTATACACGAGTACCGTTTTGCCGCGTATATTGCGCCTAACTAAACAAAGTGGGCATTCTAACTCCGTGATTTTTTAAAAAGTAAAGGTTGCACAAGTGGCCGCGCACTTGGTTCACATCGGACCGCCGCGGGAAGCTTGCAACGGCCGGGGAGGGCAGCGGGGGTGGGGGCGGTGGCGGGGGCGCTCGTCACCGGGGGGGGGGGGGGGGCGGCGGCGGCGGCGGCTCGGCGACGGGCGGGGCTCGCCGGCGGCGGCGGCACTAGGCGAAGTACATGACCTTCTTGGTGACCGCGTGCACGGTGATCGCCCGCGCCATCGCGCCCGGCGTGCGGTCCTCGCTGCAGGCGGACTGGTGGCTGCCCTCGCCCGAGTCGTGCTCCTTCTCGACGAGGTGGTAGCGGGCGCGGAAGGCGACCAGGTGCGCGTAGTAGGCGGGCGCCGGGATCGAAACGGAGCGCGTGCAGCGCACGTACGTGTGGCACAGCTGGTAGGTGAGGCACTGAAGCTCGTCGGAGCCGAAGTGGTTGTCGTCCCACAGCACGTGGTAGTGCGACGGCCGCGACGTGCCCTGCGGGAGGGCGGATCGTTGACAAGCAGCAACCGAAGTATTACGTAATAGATTCCCCCGGCGGTATGGCCGCGCGGCATACTCGGCTGTTGCACGAATGGGCAGGCCCGTCCGGGTAAGTACCACCACCTCACAGAAGACCAGCGTAAAGTGGAAGTGTGACAAATACTTTCGCGTTTCGTCTGCTCGTTTGGCAAATTTTCACATAAAAAAAAAGATAAACTTATTGGAATATTACAAGGATATGGTAAAGTCAATAGTAGATCAAACCCCCGTGTGATCAACTAGCAATTTCATTGGCAATGGACCTTAGGCTTCGGAAATACAGGGAACTCCTAAAAATCAAGTAGAAAATGTATAGCGAATGAGCCAGGAATTCAGTTTAGTTACCCGGCGTTAATGAACCCCGACTTTATACTTATTACTATGTGCTACTTATTGATTTAGGGTTTTGTAGTAGAAATATATCTATTGAGGATGTTTCCGTTTTCAGTCTGAAGAATATTAAACGTTCATCGCAAACGCAGAGCTTGTGGAACAACTAAATTTCATGATCTTGACGAGGAAGAATAATATTTCAACGGCATGTGCGGCACTCCATCAGCTTGTAAACATGTTGAGAGGAGTTTGACAACATCCCTGCGCTTGTGTTTCAAAACTGTAAGCACATTATGATGTGGTACTTCAAAAGGTAATTTTCCATATCCCATTAATTATTGCAAGGTTTCGCAAGTCGAATTTGAAATGTCTTTTAGAGTGGTACGCTTAACCAAGCTTTCTTTCTCTATTGTACACAAAAATAAACTCAAAAAAAAAAGTCAACTTTTAAAATAAACGTACATAGGCAAGCTTAATCCTAAAATAAGTCCTCTACCAGCTAACCCATGATTAGGTAAGTAGGTAGGTATGACATAAGTAGATGTATAAAACTGAATAATAAAAAAATACAGAAACATATACAATAAAACATACTAATATACGCTTTTGTACGATGACATGAGCTTTATGATAACCGTGGGACGATTGTGAAGCGAAACAGCGGTATACCTGTATGCCCTGGTGGCTGCAGAGGTAGAAGTCGAACTCGGTGGGGTGGGTGATGCCCAGGTCGACGGTGGTGCCGGCCGGGATGTTGCCCGACTTGCCCGACTGCTCCTTCTTGTCGGCGCAGAACAGCCGCGTGTGGTGGCGCTTCTGCACCACGATGAACGTGATGCCCGGCTTGTATTCCGCCTCCAGCTGGTCAAGTCGCAAAGTCGTCGTTTAACATCGTCGTATAGCAAAGATTAAATCAAATGTCTTGGTCCTCAATGCGTTGTTAACATATTAGTTTCTTAAATGTTTCTTTTGGGTTGTGTGAAATAGTAATACTTCCACTTTACGTGGCAGTTATACGTAAAGTGGGTGTATTATTTATTCCTTCTTCTAAAGCTTGACAATTCATCTATAAACGTATATTGCGATATAAAATCGTAAACAGACGATCGTTTATGAATGTTATGCGCCAAATATACATATATGTATGTGTTATTGCAAATTTTAGTTTATTATTAATTAATATAGTAAATACCTTATTACTTAATACAAGTCTAGTTGATACGATTTGATCTTTAACTTTTAGACAACCATTTTGGCATTCCTTTATGGATTTACAAACATGTAAAAGCGTATACAACATACTAGCTTTTGGCCCGCGGCTTCACTCGCGTTGAAGTCCTTAAATAAATATCTATCCCCTTTAAGAACCCTAAAGCTTTTTCCAATAAAATAGCCTATGTCCTTGCTCAGGCTCTAGACTATCTGTGTAACAAATTTCATTTAAATCGGTTCAGTAGTTTTGGCGTGAAAGTGAGACAGACAGAGTTACTTTCGCATTTATAATATTATAGTATGGATTACAGTTTAATTAATTTCGAACGTTATTTACCCGTTTTCTAGTATGGAAAAATATGAACTTCAAACTAAACCAAAGTCACGTATCTTTCGTCAATCGTACAGGGACTATTGTAATAGAGCACCTTAATGCAGGCCTCGCGCACGGCCGTGAGCTCGTGCTGGAGAACGTGGATGAACTGGCCCTCGGATATTCCGTCGCGATACATTATGATGCGGTGCGGCTTGAAGCCGCCCGTGCTCTTGTAGAACATTATCAGCAGCTCTTGCACCATGCTGCTCATCTCGTGTACTATCTCCTGTCTGTCAATACAGCAGTTATAAAGGGACATTATCATAATTATTACGTTCGCGTCGGACTCGGAAGCGACCGGAAACGACCCGTGCAAATTCACCGATAGATTGTGCAACTCGCTGATTTACAACGCTGCAAGTATTGATTGTATTGTTAGATCGTAATTTTATGTTAATAAATGATAAAAATATATGTATAAATAATCATCATAATAACTTCCTTTGAGCTTTTCATCGTATTGATCGACAAATTACATGACACATCAAGTTTTACACTTGTTGAATGAACTCAACAAGTGGAAAACCACTTGTATGATGGTGTATGGGATATACACCATCATACAAGTAGTTAAAGTATAAAATTATTTGAACTTTCACTACAAGTATATGCAGTAGCTACAATAACCATAATTAGACTACGTGAAGCATCAAATTTTAAGGTATATGGTGTTCGATTATTCTAGACCATGATCCAGAGATTGTGATGAGTAACATTTTATTTTAACATAAGCTATAGGTGATCAACTGAGCCATCTAGTCATTCACATTTATATTCAAACTAGCTGTGCCAGCGACTTCGTCCGCGTGGAATTAAAAAAAATAAAAGTAGCCTAAGTTACTCCTTATTACATCAGCTATCTGTCAGTGAAAGGCCCGCCCAAATCGGTCCAGCCGTTTCAGAGATTAGCCGGAACAAGCAGACAGACAGACAAAAATTGTAAAAAGAGTTATTTTCGTATATGTACCGTGTAAACATCCACATGCATTTAGTAAAAAGCGGTTATTTTAATATTACAAACAGACACTCCAATTTTTTTTATCTGTATAGATTGTGTAACTTTTATACTTCTGCGTTTCGTATTGTGAGTGACGTAGCCGGGGCCTACTTTTTAAAAAGGCATCCCTACGTGCTGCAAATGTCAACGGGCGGCGGTTATCACTTAACATGAAGTGAACGACCGGCTCGTTTGCCACCTTCTCACATAAAAAAAAATTGAGGGCTTTTTCGGGTTCTTTATCACAACGAGTCCCTTTCGAGAAGAGTTGGGGCCTAACAACATTTGTTGGTTTCAATTGACCGGAGCCGACTCATTTAAAACGTGTTGACGTCATTCAACATCAGGTGAACGACCCGTTAGTTTGACAAGTTTAAACATTAAAAAGGCATTCTCTGCAGCTGATAAAAGCGGAGGCGCGGGTTGTTAGATACCTGTGCTGTTGCACGCGCACGGTGGCCGCGTACCGCGAGGGGTGGGCGTCCATCGACCCGACCACCGCAGCGATAGAGGGCTTCTTGTTGTCACCGGCCGGCGGGTGGGTCACGTCCACGCCGAGGAAGATGACGGGCTCGTTGAACACCTGCAACGCGACCCGACATTAGGGATGGCGAAAGTGAGAAAATATATCGATGTCAATATTTATAAAAATATCAATATCGGCCTTGTTTTGTCGAAGAAAATATATAGATATATTCTACTTCGGCCCTGTTGTAAAAAAAAAAGTATGCCAAGTATTAAATTTTTTAATGAACCGACCCGGATTTCACTTTTCGTTTTTGATACGATTTTGATATTGAATATTTTGTATTGATATATCGGATCAAAATAATATTTTGATCCGATATATCGATATATTACATCGGATATGCCGATATATTATTTCGGCTAAAAATATCGATATATTTATATTATAACAAATATCGATATAAGGATATTTTTTCGGCATCCCAAGCCCACGTCACGCCACGAGAGCGAGTGTTATCGGCCTCGGAGTGCATTTTTCTTGTTTTGAAGTTATAGTTCTTTTGGCGCGTTTGAGATAAAATATTATCAGAACGAATTTTTACGATGCCGCGACGCCAACTTCATGGTGTTAGCATGGCAACCAATAACAATTTTTTGACATTTACCTATAATTGATGGCAGTCAAGTGCTGGGCAGTTTTGAATTTAAAAAAAATTCCAAGTCAAATAAACCGTTACCAATTGCATTTAACGTATTTTTTTCACAAACAAAGAGTACTGACACTGGGGATAAAATTTTTAGTTGTTTTTCTTTTGTTACGCTATAGAAAAAAAAGCTTCTTAAGTGCGTAAGTACACACACACGTTCAAAACTACCACTCCTTATTTTCTGACACTGGTGCCACTTTCAAGCTATCCCTTATGTACTTATTTCGTATCCTTTCTGGTCACACCACGCATCCAACAACATGCATTTTTCTTTCATTCGTCTCTTTTGCTACTCAACATTCAGATTCCATACACCTTGACAGGTCTCACCACCGTCTTGTAAATCTTCCCTTTGAGTTTTAGGCGGCATTTGCGGGTCACATGTAACGCCTGAGACCTGGTTCCTACACACCGTAGACCTAAAAATCGACTACAGCGCAATCGATAGCACTTTTCAAGACGTTTACCGGTCGAATTAACTCCCGCGGCAAGAGGTTTCACTAACATGACACCTCGACGAAACTTAAGTAGTCTTCTGGCTGAACTCATGAAGGCAAAAACATCCATGAAAGTAAGTTATATGACATCGTGTTCTCAAGGTTTTCAATTTTTTTCAAATTATGAAGAAATGTTTGCATTGGGGTTGTGCAAGGTGACCAATTTCATATTTTTGGACATGCTGCACGTATAATTTGGGTAAAAAAAGATGGTTTAAGAAACCGGACATGACAGAAACTCTGAACAATATGAAATGAGATGTGCAATTGAGTTACCGTTACCGCGTACTTGTTGTTTGTCAAATTCTAATCTAGACTGTATAATAATTTCAGGCATTTATGCTATTTTTATACAAAAATAACAATTTGAATTACATTTAATGATGATAAAGCATTTTGGTAATATCACCAATAATGAAAGCGCTAGTTATTGAGGCAATTAAAGCTTGGTATTATTTTTAACATGCAAAATAAATTTGCAGACATAAACCACTAAAATTATATTTACTTAGAACCTATAAATAAAAGTATTTTCAATAACATGTTCTGTGATTGGTGAAGATAGCTTTAAATATAATACGGACATATTATGAGCCCATTTTCAAATTCAATATCAATGTTTGATATTTAAATATTAAAAAAAATATATAGAACTCCATGTAACTTTGTAATTAATAGCTATAGTAAAATAAAATTATAACATTTAACCTATATATTTCACATTAATAATTATTGGTGATATTTGTCACGTAAAAGACCTTTTTTTTTCTCAAGGTTGCTTCAATATTAAAGCAGTAAAATTATAACTATATTATGTATATACCTCCTTCATGTGTCTACAAAAACTTTCACATATAAATATAGGTACAGCAATATTCTAAGATAGTACATACAAAACTTTTCCTCTGCATGGCAGTAATGTTTATGGCACTTACACCTGCAGGCATAAAGATACATATAATGCGACTAACAATCAAAGAAAAACAGTTGCAAAACTTCATGTTCCGCTTACATTGAAACAGTCCTCGCTATGGATACTGTTCGGTTCTAAGTTAGTAGTCTGCGTTTCTTGTTGACGCTCAGACTGGACTTGCTATGAAGAAATAATAATTTCACAACAACTATTTACTTCATACACAATATTATTTTATTTTCATAAATTTGCTCAAATTTGATTTTGAATTGTATTAAACATTAATGACAATTTAGTGATTATTTTGTATTATGTATATTCGGTACCCTGAATGAATACATTAATAAAGAATGATTAAATGATTTGATGGCTAACCAATTAATTACCTTACAAAAATATAAACTATGTTCTGACACTAAGAAGGGGAGAAATTTTGAAGAAAATTAAAAATTTGAAACTTATATCTAAAGCTAAAATGTTGTTGAATAAATACCTTTGGACGCAATGATGGCACTAATATAGAGTTAATCCCTCCCAATTTTACATTAATCTTCAGGCAAAGGTTACTTAGTGTTTGTGGGGAGGTCTTGTTAACATTCTTGGCTTGTACACATTGGGTAGCCATTCCGAGTACAGTGTCACCAACGCGTTTTACTTCAGCTACAAAATAAGTATGTATTTAATAATTTTATTAAAAACATGGAATACGAAACTCTTTTTAGCAACAAAATAAATATAATAATAGCACATAAAATCAGCTAAATATCGTTTGTTATTAAACTCTCTGTCAAGGTATCATTTAGACTGTGGTAGAGCCACATGATAGTCTTCTCTGTTGTATGAATGGACTGGTCCATCCGGGTAAGTACTACGACCTAACGGCATGCATTGGAAGTGCGTACTTCTGCGTTTCGCCTGGTGAGTGAGGTTGCCGGCGTCCACTTTATTTAAAGGTAGAAACGCATCTGCTTACTGCACCCTACAGGTGTTCGAAATGTTTTTTGGCGGCCGTTATCACTTAATATCAGGTGAATAGCCAGCTTTTTTGCCACCTTCTCCACCTTCATTTCAAAAGAAGCAGAATAATGGGTCGCTTGACCATTACAGGGAAGATAAAGATATTTTAATAAGTCGATACTATATTACAATGTGAAAAATAGTTGACTATTTGTTTATATATATTGTTGGAATTAGAATAATGTCACATAGCTAAGCATGTGTTGTCATCCAAAATTAGTGTATATATCAAATTTCAGCTCAATTTTTTAAAGATAAATGATTTAAAAATCAGTTGCAAGATTCCAACCGGACAGAAATACACAAATTGCAAGTTAAATAAAAGCTTGTAATATATTGCACATCACTTCATAAAAAAAAGGGAAAGAAAAATAGTGTACATCTTATATGTACACTATTTTTCTTTAACTTACAAAAATGAGATTAACATGAGCAAGAGAGACACAAATATATGTTGTTAAAAATCAGCATCAGTACTTATTAAATTTAACTATGACATCAATAATATAGGTGGTAAATTATCATATTATTGGTAAGCATTATAATGGTTTTATAGTGTAATAATTGTGAGTAATTAACATCCTTATTGCTTGTAGCTAAATATCAAAATATTTAAAGGAAACTGACCGTATACAGGAGTTTTTCCTGGCAACACAACAACAACCAGCTGCAGCTGAACAAATGTAGACTTGAGATATTTGAACATGGGCTCCACCTGATCTGGTCCAGTAGCATACTTGCAGAAACATGGTTGCCCAATAATTGGCATTCCAGCATCATTAGAGATCTTTTGCAGTTGTTGTGTAAAATTTCTGTACAAATTGAAGGGTAGACTTATTATAATAATGTAACACAATCATTCAAGGAATATTAACTTTAAAGTATAAAAAAATTATCCATAACATATAAAATAGGGAATTGTGATTGTATATCATCAATTGTGTTGCCAGCTATAAAATTTTTAACAAAAGTGTATTGAGAAAAATTGAAAATAATCTTACTTAAGAGCATCCTCTCTAACAGTTCTCTGCGGAGCAAAACATGCAATAGCCCAGACACGAATTTCAACTCCCATGAAGAACTGCTTCCCGCGCATGTCCCATACACCTTGGTTAGGCAATGCTTGCTGAGAAAAAAGATATTATGTATTATGAAAATAAGTTTATGTATACTTTATTTACAACAGTAAATAAAGAATACATAAACTTTTGTATAAAGTGGTAACTTACCTGTCCACCTAAAGACGACACACGGCCGCCGTATTGAAGTTTTGGCGGTGGAAGAACTCTCCCTCTTACTTCCATCATATTGTTGGATATTGTTAATCCGAATTCCTTTACATAAAGGTCCGTATTGAAATTTGCTCGTCGTACTAAATTATTTATTTCCCGCTCCCTTAAGTGAAAAAATTATGTTGTTTCTTATATGATATTTACTAAGTGGCAGTTGCTAAGCTAATATTTTGGCAGCAGTGTTTGTGGGTTCGATTCCCACATGCAGCATGTATTTGTATGACTCAGATAACTGTTCCAGATTTGGGTGTTAATTCATAATTAAGATAGATGTGAGGCAGGTGGGTGGTCGTAAAAAAGCCAATATTATTACATGAATCATATGTTGTGCAGTGTAGAAGTAAGGAATAAAATGTTCAACCTTATTATTACTAAATTACTATGAAAAATATATATGGTATTTATTATTAAGATTATCTATTTAACAATTGCTATAAAATTACAATATCTGTACTTATATAATAATTTTTTAAATTCATAATTATATAATATTTTTTTCCTCTGCATAACTAATTTGTGATTCTAACTTTTATTGTTTAAAGTAGACTTGAGATAATAACTTGGTAGTCCATAGAGCAATTGTTTTTCCACATGAAACTTACCTATCTGGTGCCGATCTAGCAGTAGCTTTAATCATAGTAGATGTTTGCATATCAGTTAACTTTTTAATACATCTCTGACCAGGAACAATATTACAAACTTCTAAAGGCAAATATGTATGTTTGTGTTCCTGTCCCACTTGAAGACAAGGTAAATGGGGATACCTCAGTTTCATTTTATACTTATCCAAGAAATATTTGGCTACTGTACACTCTACAGTCTGTCCATTGTCTAACTGTAGTGGAAATCTGTGGAACAGTAAAATTTAAATAACATAATCAATAAATAATATAAAAGATAGGTAGTTCCAAATCCAATTGCAACATTTGCACTTAGGATAAAGGACTGATTTCATGTAACATAAAGGTTACAATTGATTATCATGCACTTATGATGTTATAAAATAATTCAAAGCACGTTTGACAATGATACTTACGACTGCATTTGAGCAGGTCTGCGTGTTACATTGCACACTCTATATTTACGCTTCATTGTCCCACAGTGAGTTATTTCAATCTTAAGTCCTTTAATTTCCTTTGTAAACTTAACACGCTGAGAATCAGTTAGAGGCTTTCTTTGGTCATTTATGTCTCTTATATCTAACACTTCACACATAAATTCTATAACAGGTTGCGCTTTATAAAAGGCAGTTGCAGACACTATAAAAAAGTTTAAGGTCAAATTTCATATAAAGATATAATCAATATGATATTAAAAAAAGTCAATATAAGGGTAAATCATTCTGTATTTTTATGTTTTATGCAAGAGGATTACCACTATTATATTCTGATTTGTTTCACTTAGCAGGGTATTCAAGGGTAGCCCTAATCTATACTAATATTATAGATGCGAAAGTAACTCTGTGTGTCTGTCTCGCTTTCACTCCAAAACTGCTGAACCGATTTAAATGCAATTTTGTATACAGATAGTGTACAGCCTGAGAAAGGACATAGGCTATTTTTTAAATTGGAAAAAAGGGTTGAAAGATATTTATTTAAGGTAATTTTAAATAAATATATGACTTTTACTACCCTTTTTAACACATGATTAAAAATTATTACACAGTTAAAATAACTTGGATTCAAGAGGTGCACTAAGAGTTTTTAATTGAAAAATATAATTTTACCATCAATATTGAGCATCATTTTCCATTGACTTGGTCTCACTGACTGATGGAAACCAAACCAAACTTCCCTTCCACCACCAAGTGGATGGTAATATCCTTCTGGAGAGGAAAAGAATGACCGACCAACTGGTGTATACATCATAGATGGTAAATGTCTCATAACCACATCCAATGCTAATATTGCATCATATGGAATTTGTCTTGTGCGACCTTCCAAAGCTTCTTCCAAAGCAAAAAGTGATACCTAAAACATTTTGTGTGTTTACTAAAATAGTAAAGATATAAAAATTATTTAATAAGTATAACAAAGTATATCCCTAGCTGTCTTGTAATATGTAGTACCTAGTTTTTAGTGAGATTACAGATTTTAATGTGACTATTATACAATGTGATTATTATACAATAATAATAAAACAAGAAAGCTAGTTTATTTATGTTTTAATTATACCTACCTGAGCAACCCATTTGATAGTCACACGAAATACTCTATCTTTTCCTTCACCTGGCAATATTACTTCTAATTCAACCCTGTCATTGCCAATTGGTAGTGGGTCTCTTGTGTATAAATTGTTTCTTCCATCAAATACTGGTTTTAATGTACCAAATATTTTATTGTAACAATGGACCATTGTTTCTACTATTTCCCTATTGACCTGAAATTTTTGTAGTGTAATAATTTATCCATTTATGCCAATAAAAACAATCCAATAGACACTTACCTTTCTAGGACATTTATCCGGCTGTATATTGACATCATAATGATGTACAAAACCTCTAGGCATAGATATTTGAAAATGGTTTGCCCTGAGCATAATTGGGCGACCTTCATGGCCGAGGTTGGGTCGACGAGGGCATGTTAGAACTGGCAGATCAGGAGGGGGAGCTGCGGCTGGAGGCACGAGTGCCATAGGACCTGCCCCCACTACTACAGGTGGAGCTGCCCCTGTTGCAGGTGCAGTACTCGGAGCCCCAGGTGCCGCTGCTGTGGCACCTGCTGGCGAAGTCACAGCACCAGTCACGCCTACTGCACCAGCACTCGTCTCCCCCGTTGGAGCTACAATAAAACACGTTTTTATTTAACCATACGCCCATATTTTCATTAATGTTTCATAATAATGATATTTTATTCTTTTACTATGTTTTCTACAATAAACGACACTATTAAGGGCAATCAAACAAAGGATTATTATGCCTTCCTAATTCTTAGAGGTGACAATATAATCCATTATACTTACGTTGGCCAACGGGGTACATTTTGGCATATACTTATATATACAGAAATTTAAAACTTAAATATTATACAGCTTTCCGCGTTGAAATTGTAGCAATGTGCTCAAATAGATGTGGCTATAACTGCAATTTTATGTTGCACTTTGACGTCTGTTGTTGCTGTTTGACATACATTTTCAACAGATAATAGATGCTGAAGGACCTATATTACACTTCTCTATAGAATCTACATGGGCATTGATAGAACGTGACCTGATTTGAATAAAGTAATTATAAAACAAGAAATACGACTATAAAAAATTTAATCAAACAATTTTATCCATATTCTTTGTAATTTGAATACAAAAAAATTCTAACTTGCCTGAACACATTTTACAAGAATATTTCTTAGATCTCTACTTCGAAATAACATGTTTTATTACGAATTAATTTTTATATTTAAAAACATAAGAACAAGTTTGAAAAGAACGACGTTCTTGATCTGTTTCTTTAGTACTTTATTTTCTTAAAACCGCTTTATAATATAATCATAAAAACAAGTAAACAATATACAAAGTAGTAATTATTTACATTTAATTTACATAAAACCAATAAAATGAATTTTATTAAAAAAAAATATTAGCACAAATTAAGTGGAATACACTATAAGTTAAGTTTTAAAATATTCTTATAAAGGTTAATTAATATTTGAATTTTAAAAAATAATGACCTGGAATGTTCAAAATTCTATAGAGAATAATTTCATATTACCATTACTTAAAATATACAGATGTTAGACTTTTACACATTACAACTTTAAAATATACAGATATTTATAAAATTTGTGTTATAATCTACCTACACAAAATAATTACCTATTGTGCTTTTCTGCATACTGCAGATATCTCCATATAGAGAATTATTGAAATAGAGATATCGATTATACCTACTGGGATACTCTGTTTGTCGATTAAAAATAAAATATTAAAAGTTAATATAGTCTGTGAATATCTATTTTCTCACCCTTGAATTTTCCGGGAAGAGAAAAGAAATATGTCTATCCCCTACAGTGGCACTGTTCGAAGATCAGGGGGTGTTGTGTCTGCAATTGGAAAGCAGTTACGAGCTGTAAATCTAAAGGCTGCTAAGAGAATAACGGTCAAATTTGATCCATTTAGTGATAATGTTAAACATACCAGGTGAGATCAGCTCCCAGTATATCTTATAATCCCCATATTTCATTAGAATAACTTCACTGTCGAGAAGGTTCTGAAACGTAATTGGTAGTTATAATGGTGATGGTAGTGTTTTATTTGAATAAAGTGGTATAAAAAGTCGTAGCAAACAATTTGAATCAATTCTTATAATAAAACAAAATTGTTATTAGTTATAGACTGGTTTGCTAAGTTTGTTGGCTTTTAATGAAATTTAGACGTTTTGGCTTAATCTAGTTAAACTTAAATTTCTTTTATTTATAGCTGTGAAATAAGATCTCATATTAAAATCTTTTTAATTAATTTGGTCATGAATATAGCTGCCTACCAAATCAATATTTTTTAAATTTATGGTAAAATTATATTAATATATTATAATTGTAATTAATGCCTTTTTAACATTTTTAGGAACTTTTTGCATTATATAAGTTCACCTAAGATAATTTTGACAAATCCGAACTGTTCCCTTAAAACTGAGGTTGTTTGTGATCGAAGTGAACCAGTTATTGATATATCAATTATTCCTTCAATTGCAGGTAAAGTATTTCAAGTAAATAAAAATATACAATTAGTAACATACAGTATATTATACAACTGAAAAAACTATTGTTTCTTTCAGAAACTGCTAAAGTAAAGAATGTTACATTCAAAAGTGGCAATCTTACATGTTTAGAAATCTTGCAGTTGTTGAACAAACATATAACCTCACTAGCTCCTGCTGAACAGGTTTCATCTTCAGTCCAAACTAAATCAGAAAAAAAGAAAGGAAAGAAAAAGTGAAGAAACATGGCTCGCTCTAATAAAGGCAACTTGCATGTTGTAGAAGAGATATACAATCAGATACCTGCCTTCACTGATATATTCTCTGAAGATACATTTTACATGTTTGTTATAATATTCGTTCTCTCAACTATCTTGGTCGCCTTTATTTTGTCAAGATTTATAACCATCAAGCCTGTAGAATAGATTTAGGGAATTAAAGTGGTCTTTAGTTTAAAGTAGTTTTTTATTTATTAAATAAAACCATTTAACATTACATAAAACTTTTATTGCTAAGAAAGGAAAAATCATTTCAGCAATTTAAAGTATTTGAAATTGGCTTGTTAAAATTCTTGTGCTCCCCAGCGGATCTGAAAAATTATAAGTTGATTTATGACAAAAAATATTCTTGGTTTCAATTTTTAATAAAAAATCACTATTACTACTACTTACATCTTGGTTACGGGCTTTATGTTTTCTCTCTACTAAAGATGTCAATGCCTCTGACCTTACAGCCAATGAGTCAATTCTCTCCACTAGCTGCTGATATGGCGAAAGTGGCTGGGCACCCATAACAACATGGCCCAGTTTTGAATCAATTTTGGCATCCAGACGTGCGTTACGAATCAAGTTTACAATCCAACATTCTGCCTCGTCTGGCTGCATATTTAAATTCTCAGCTAACATACTGTAAATATTTAATTCAGGCATTATATGAATATTGACTTCACTTTCAGTCCGTAGCCGAACTTGATATGATACATTGTCACATAACAACTGCATTTTAATGCAAAATAAATTCGATGGTTTTAAAATTAATATAAAATACAAACATATTGGCAAACGCAGAATGGACATAGTCAAACTCAACTCTTCAAGGGTTTTGTGATCAGTGAAGCTTTACGTACTCTTTGGACTAAAAGTCGAGTGAGTAAATACGCTAAAGAGTGAGCGTATTATCTTTTCGATCCAATCAGTTTAGTGTGGTTGAAAAACAAATATTAAATTTCTAATAGAAAGTTCATCTCAAGGGAACCCAAGCATTTATTATATTTTATTTTATTGGAAAACTAAACTTTAAAGCTATTAACAGCGATAATTAAGTGATTTAAAGTAATTATGAAGCCATTTACAAGTCATCACATTTAGTAATCTTAATTTATAGGTATTATAGGAAAATGAAAATAAAAAATACAAGGAATAAAAAGACCAAGAGTACAAATTACAAAAAACAACAGTAAGCTATCATTTTTTTTTATCCAACAAAGTAATCGTTAGTAAGGAGTGCTTTGGCTGTAAAGTGCTGCATTTATTTTTGTTATAAAATAAATTCAGCACTTTTAATTAAAATGTCGTATATCACTAGCCTTCGCTATTATTCGTTATAATATGAACATCGAGATCAGCATCATGTGATTTGGCGAATCCCAATTAAGCCTACGTGGTTTATAGACAAGGGCTAATTTTTATTGTGCAAACATGATGTACGTATATATGTTTCTCATTTCAAGATATATTCATTTTATATCCTAAAATAATTACCTAAGCAAATCACGCAATGAAATTCATAAAATGATGATATGCAAGTTAGAATTTTGAAAACGTTACTTCACAACTTGTATTTTTCATTGAAAAGATACTGTATTAGTATTGTCTAGGAAGAGGTAAATCCAAACAAAAAAGAACAAACCAAAACAGTCTGTTCCGGAGTAGTATTAATTTACTAGATATACGTTTTATGTATTATTACGTCTATAATCAATTTATGATATATAATATCACTACGTAGTAGCCTAAGTATTACATCCCGGCAGCTAGGCTGACGCCTCCTCTTTGGTATTGTCCCCATTGCTGACTGACAGACATCATCTTCAACATGATGGAATTATTGTTTTCTTGATTTTACGCGAATATTATACATATTAAATAAAACTACTTTACGGATTTTATCGCGTTTTTTATTTTAATTTAAATTCCCGACGTTTCGAACCCTTTCCAGCGTTCATGGTCACGGGACAGACTAAGTTGTCTGTCCCGTGTTGTCAGATAAAATCCGTAAAGTAGTTTCATTTAATATGATGGAATTTACTATTTCATTGATACCGGCATCGTGATGCAGCATGTGGCGTGCTGAAAAGCTGCTTTCTGAGTTTTCCGCCAGGGCATAGATTGCCACGGCCAATCTGGAAGTCTTTAAATAGACTTCAAGGAAAATATGTTCAGGTGGGGATTCTCAGAACACCCAGACCTGTGTGTGAGCAGTGCAGTCGAAGATCAATGTTGTGTACATAGTTATTGTCAAGGGCGAGTTAATTAACGACCTTCCAACATTAAAAATGAATAGTCCAGAAATGGTAAATTAATGTGTTCCTATGTTTTCTTTTTTTTATATATATAATTTTGAAATATTTGTTTGGTGGATGTCTGAACACAGCAGAAAATCTGGCCAATTATTCTGGTTTGTGAAGGTTCACATCATCTTATGCAAATAATTTATGAAAAAAAAAAGAAAAAAATAGGGACATGAAATAAGGGCAATAGATAACAAAAAAAAAACAACAGTGGCATTATCAAGGGAGACAGTTTAGTCTTAAAAGAACATTTTTAACTTACAATGGCTTGTACAAGAACATCTCAATGATAAGATCACGGCCTTTCACATGATTGAAGAATACAAAAAGTGACCAATGTACGAGCCAAGTGCGTTGTTGAAGGGCTTGCATATTGCTAGCAGTAGCGCCTGCGCCACCGTTATCGATGAATTCGCGAAGCTTAGTTAAATCTTCGAGAGCCCCGTCCCAGTTCTGTACCAATATCTCACTCGCTAATTTTCCCCAAAGAACGGAAAGATAATTCTAAAACAAAAGAAATATTTACCTACAATTATTAACCAACAAAAGATAACATAAGCAGTTAGAGCAGCGCCGTACAATTTTTGTCGTACCTATACAGGGAGGCTTTTCTAAATGTATCCATTTTTCTTAATTAAATTCTAGACATAAATGTTATATAAAAATGATAAATAATAAAATTCACTCGTAATTAATTACTCTCATTTTAACTTATCACAAACTCTCGCGTGTTTTATGGGCAATTCATTTATTTACGTTCGTTCATTCATAACTAATACGCACACAAGTTTCAAAAGTATACGACGCAGAAATATTAATGACTACGGCATTGTCAACAAATTCTGTTTGTTTGTTTGTTTTAAAGCTTGTTTGAATTTTTTTTTAACTATGACCTTTTTTATCGTTTATATTTTTTAATGATTATTGGCAAACAGCAATAGAAGTGTGTTCATTTAATGTCGTGGTTGTAACATCATGCTCTATACAGGGTGGCTTTTCCAAAGTGTGCAAAAAACACAGGAGGTTCAGACTCGGTAGTATAATCGTTTATTGAAATAAAGACATTAACTTTTTTTTTTCAAAAAAATTGCCATTCTTTTCCCTAAAAAACAGAACTTGTGGACAATGCGGTAGTCATTCATAAATGCGTCGTATACTTTTGAAACAAACTTGTGTGCGTGTTAGTTATGAATGACCGCGCGTAAAATAAATTCGTTGCCCATAAGTCAAGCACATTTTGAGATAAGTTCAAATGAATGAAATTAATTAATTACGAGTGATTTTAAATATTTATCATTTTTATATAACTTTATTTATGTCTAGAATTTAATTAAAAAATGGATACACTTAGAATAACCCTGTGAGTACTAACAGTCTACACTGTATTAGCAGTTGAAATATTACACTGATTACATGCAAAACATACATAATATTGTAATATTGTTTAACTATTAGAATGCACAAACGTACGAACGATTCAGTGCAATGATATTATAATTCAACAGAAATATGTTGTTATCGCGCCCGTAGTGAAGTCATGAAAACGTCCCAATACTCTCAATTGGGACGTTTTGTCTAATTTTGCTTTAGTTCACGTCTAGGGTTGCCAACCATACTTGATCATATCGTATCCTATTTTTTTACTTTATTTTTGATAAATTTAATTTATACATATATTACTTAAAAATAAAATATGCAAAAATACTTTATATCCCATGTTTATAGTGATACGTAAAACTAAACGCAATGTAGTTCAGCATTTTCCCATATAAATAAGTGCTGAACTACATTTTGATTATTATAAGTCCAAATAGAACGTGTACACAATATATTAACACTCACACTCACAGAAGAGTTATCAACCGAAAGTTTGGAAAAATTATATTAGCAAAATTTTAAGGTCGTGAGCGCACATCGACAGTCAAAAGCGACATGATGAAGTTGATTGTAAGTATAAAGCAACCAACTTCAAAATTATCTATTATTCTAATTTATGTAATTAAACAGTTATCAATTGATTTTAACGTCTTTTTCACAAACAGAGTACTTGGCACAGGGGATGAAATTTTTAGTTATTTGTCTTTTGTTATAGTAAAGAAGTAGGTATAGCTTCTAACGTGCGGACACACACACTTTTTTTTTCATTCATAATTATATGAGTTTAGGTTATTTCAGATTATGGTTTAGAGGGCGAAGACGGAAACCATATAGTCTTTCGACCCAAAACCTCTAGGGCACTTCCGATTGATAAAAAAAAGTTAAAAATTAATGTATATTTTGTACGTACAAGTTTTCGCGAAAATATACATAGTTTTGCCCATATCTTTTTGTCATGTTGACTCAGAACCTTGATTTTTATATACCTAATAGGAACTATAAACCTCAATATCTGGTATATATTTCAACTTGCTAGGTAGTAAAGTTTAAGATACGGAACCCTAAAAATATTTTTTATTTAACTTCAGATCCTGAGTAAGAGTTATTTCGAGAATTGAAGGGAAGCTTAGCAACTTACAAAGATATTAATAAATTATTATAGTATGCTAGGTACCTAAAACATCTCATGTGATGTAATAAATCCCTAAAATGTATTTTAAGGAAATAAAATAGTTTTTTTTCCTTCAAATTACCTTTTTTCTTGTTTAACCATTCTGATAAGTTTTTTTTTTGAAAAAAGTTGGCAATTACTATTATCGTCAGGCAGAGCGGCGAGTAAGACGCGTTGTCAAAAATTTTACAATTTTAAAAATGTCGCGGTATTTGTAAAAGTGTACAAACTTCGATTCTAAAGTATAATTTTTCGATTTATGGGTATATTTAAAATATTTTCCTAATATTTTAATTTGTGTAGGTTAGAAAACAAAGAAAGAGGATGCAACTAAATTTAATACAGGGACGAGAAAGACGGTGCACTCCGGACATAGATTAACAAGTACAGAGATGCTACTGTCGTAGGCAGTAAACTATGGGTCCCTAAAAAATTCGGTTTTCCTTTTTTCGGTCTATTATTAATCACTCGATTTTTAGGTATAAATTAGTATTTAATATAAAATAAACTCGTTAGACTTCATAAAAATTTAAGTAACTAAAACGTAACAAGTGCGAATTGAATTATTTACAATTTTTTTTATCATTACGGTTTCTAAATAAAAAGATTCGACGTCAAGAGTGGATTGTAATCTGTTATTAAAATCCTTACTAATATTATAAAGCCCAAAGTTCAAAGTTTGTATGTATAGATGGATGTTTGTTACTCTTTTACGCAAATAATACTGAATGGATTTTAATGAAACTACAATAATATAGCTTATATAAGCTAAACGGCTGACTGCCACACCGACGAAAATCTTAACGTCTTTTATCTACAATGTTTTTCAGCATTTGAAGCAATGCTTAGCGCAATCATTGTTATATCCTTTCCTTAGCATACAAACAGTTTGGAATATCGTTTTACAACGATAATTCGAACGAGAGATGTCGCCATTGCTTCTTAAAAATTTTAATTTTGTATATTGCTTATTCTTTGCACTTAAGATTGAACATTAACATTTGTAGAAAAAGTACGAAAAGATTGTCGCCACTGTGAGAATCGAACACGACTGCCACACCAATGAAAATCTTAACGTCTTTTATCTACATTGTTTTTAGCATTTGAAGCAATGCTTGGCGCATTCATTGTTATATCCTTTAACTTGCCATTAACTAAAATCCCATTAAAACTGGTACGTAATGAAATACAAATGATTATTACTAAAATGCACGTTTTCCGTCGAAACCTGCATATTTTCGAAATAATAACAAAAAAAAACAAATTTCGATAATATGGGAAGTCCGCCAATACGCAATGGGGTCGCGTGGTGGACTATCCCCTGATACCCCTTTACAGAGGAGGCCTTTGCCCAGCATTCGGACATTTATAGGCAGTTATATTCTTTAACTCCATACTTAATAAAATGATATTACAAATATTGCAAACTATTTTAACATTTATTAAAATTATTTTTTTAAATATTTAAGAGCCACTCTCAAAATATTTAAATTTTAGAAAATACTAGACAGAAAAAGGACTATATGTGACAGCAAAACTTCTTTCAGTTTAAGTAAAAAGCAACGGATTCCTATTTATTAAAAGCAAAAGTAAAGTCAAAGAGACATTTGCGAAAATGTCAGCAAAATTAATAGTACATAAATTTGAAGAGGGTATCGATTTTAAATCTCTATATATAACATTTGGAAACGATTATCCTGGTGAACCTGATTTTAGCGATTGGTTAGAAGGTACAACAGAACAGAAGAAGAAGATTACGGAGAGTTCACGTTTAATTATAAAGTTGGTATCAGGAAGTGAAGTAAGATACATTGATTTAGACTCTTGTTCAAAACAAATATCCAGTACGTGTATTTATTCAAATTTCTTTCGAAACTCGATTAACACTGATAGTCATACAAATTTCCATTGTAATAAGACTGAAGGAATTTTTAAAAAACCGTCAGTTTTTGGTTTGACACCAATTGTCGTTCCTAAACTCTCTAATAGGATACAAAACCATGAAGAAAAATCAAATCATGAGAATGAAATGTTTCATTCTATTAGCCCACTTGAATACAGTTTAGAAAAGGTAAAAGAGAACAATGCTCGCATCATGGAAAATATTCACATGCTCAATAGAACATTAAATTACACAAAAAAGAAAGAAGTGTTAAATGTTGTGTTACCATGCTCGAAGAGTATTAAAACATATCCCTGCAATATCTGTGGCAAAACTTTTGTTTATATAACAGGTTTGAAGAGGCATTATGCAGTAAGGCATGTGATGCCAGAGACACAACAGCGCTGGCAAATTGTGTGGACTTGTACAGTCTGTTTTCAAGTTTGGCCCTGTCAGGATTTAGCTTTAAATCATGTAGGTGAATGTGGAAAGAGAGATGGCACGGATTGCATACGTGAAATAAAAACTTCATCACTATTACAATGTGAATTTTGTGAAAAGGTTTTTACAAGTATTCCTAGATTATTAAGACATTCCAAATGTCATACCACTTCAAGCAACTATGAATGTAATGCTTGTAGCATGATCTTTCAATCATATAAGAATGCTGAACAGCATTGGCTCTTTTGTCCTTGGTTGCATATGTGTTACAGATTTTCATTGCCAAAACTTCTTCTATGCAATGCCTGTGACAGAAAATTTCGTACCTATGAACAGCTTTATAACCACAGGTAACTTCAACATAGTTATCAATATAAAAATGTAATTTGCAATTCATTTTAATTCAATTTGTTATTTTAGGTACAAAGTGGGACATTTTATGACAAAATTAAAAACAGAAAGTGATGTAAAAACTACATATCAAGTTTATCAATGTGAAATTTGTGGAGAATGGTTTCATACAATAGCTCTTTTACAAGTACATAGAAAACATTATCACCCACATTATGATACTGGAGTTATTTGCAAAACTGAAAACTGAACATAATTGAACATGCAAAACTGCAAATTGAACAAACTGTTATTTTAAATGTTGTGTAATTAAAGGCAGTTTAAAGAAAATGCTGTTATGTGTCACATTTAATGATCTAACCCAGGCAAAAAATAAAATTTTCCCTTCAGGACCACAATGTTGAATTTGCAAAATGTTGAATTCCTAAAATGTTGAATTCGCAAAATGTTGATTCCCAAAATGTTGAAGTCGTAAAAAGTTGAATTTACTGGTCTCATAATGTTGAATTCCTAAAATGTTGAGTTCGCTAAAAGTTGAACTTGCAATATGTTGAATCCCAAAACATTGAATGCAAAAAAGTTGTATCCCAACAATGCGAACAACTACATCAGATTTTTATAGATATTGTTATATAAATTATTATTGTGGGGATATTTATTTGTTTTCTCGGTAGGGATTATAAATAAAAATAAACATATAGATATAAATATTGTATATCAAACCGGTGGTTGATGCGGGTGTATCGAGGAGCACCGCCTTCTGCATTTGAGCTTGGAGCGTTCCATCCCGGAGCCTTAGTCGCCACAGATTTTCATAGAGGCTGACTTGGATCAACCCATTCGCAGACACGACTATCGGGATAATTTCTGTCAACACCCCACATGTCGGTCACCTCGTGAGCCAGGTCCAGATATTTCGTCTTGTTATCTGTTTCGGCTTTCACGAGGTTCTCGTCATATGGGATGGTAATGTCGACCAAAAATACCGGCGACTGTGCCCGGTCCATCAATAAGATATCAGGTTTGTTCGCGAGAATCGACCTGTACGTGATGATGGGCCGGTCCCAATAGAGCCTTGGGCGGTCATGGTCGAGCACGGCCTCTGGGTAGTACGGCAGTTTCCGATCCACGAGACCGTATTTGAGAGTGAGCTCCTGGTGTAGGATTCTGACTACTAGGTTATGTCTATGCAAATACTCTATTAGAAAGCATGGAACAACCGGAGATAACATGTCGAAGTGACTCCTCGGGATGGCGACAAGCTCGACAGATGTCGACGGTGCCATCCCTTGCTTGGTGAAGATGAAGCTTCTTTAAGTCTAAGGACTGAAAGAGTAACATCAGTTATACAAAAAAACAAAAAAAAATGTTACACAATTTTTTTTGTTCGATTTTACTTGGTTTTCGACTTTTCTTTTTCGATTTCCTTTTGTTTTGCACTATTTCAATATGACCTAGATAGTACCAAACAACACGGAACAATAATACCATACACCCAGCAATTCATTAGTTAGAATTCAACATTTCGCAACTTCAACTTTTTGCGAATTCAACATTTTAGGAATTCAACATTGTGACCCGGGTGGGAAATTCAACTTTTTATGACTTCAACATTTTGGGAATCAACATTTTGTGAATTCAACATTTTAGGAATTCAACATTTTGCAAATTCACCATTGTGGTCCTGAAGGAAATTTTTCGTGTCCTTTACCAAGGAGTAAGGACCTTATAATAAATATCTAAAAATACAGAGATAATGAATATGGATTATTGCACATGAAAAATAAAAAAAAACAAACATATATATACTTATACCATGAAAGTAACAAGTAAATATTTTAAAGTTTAAGGAGGGTGAGGATATTATAAATAGGTGATGGCACCATCATCCCATAACATGCAAGCTGCACAATAATTAATCTCACGAACCAATAGCTTTTGAGATGCAAGTCTGGATAACAATTTATTTAATTTATGAATAAAATTAGTATTTTGTCCAGAAGAACACAAATGTGACGGTTTTCAAATAAAAGTCAAATTGGGGAAAACAGGAAAAAAATTACTACATATACAGTTAGTACTGCATATACAGTTAGTACATGCTTTTAAATATTATGTAATAAATACTTTAATTTATCAGATTTAATGTTGACAATAAAACAGGTTAGCATAAATAGAAGTGGGCTCATCTTGATTCCTGAGTTTTTTATTTATCATAAGAGTGCTGCAACTTTTTATGTCTTCATATTTAAAGTTAGGGTAAAAATTTACTACAACATTATGTTTCATTTTTCAAAAGAACCATAACGAAAAAAAAAAAATCAATAACAGCCTATACATGTCCCACTGCTGGGCAGAGGCCTCCTCTATACAGAGGTTATCAGGGCATAGACCACCACTTGGCCCCACTGCGGATTGGCGGACTTTACATGTCTTCAATATGTATATATATGTATATTTTATGTTATTATTTCGAAAAAATGCAGTGATGAAAATGCTCACGATGTTTTAATTCACTGTGGAGCATGTGATAAGTCAGCACTTAAAGATAAAAACTTCATTCGTGCCGGCACTGGGGATCGAACTCAGGTTGCTTTAGTATGTTGAATTAAAGTGGAGAGCCCAGACATTGAGCTATCACGGCTCTTATCATCAATAGATATTGTTAAAAATGAAATCAAACTTGATTTCTTACCTTATCTGTTGGTGACATTACAAGCTGACAGAAGTACAAGTATGAAGCTGATTCCACATAATTACCACATTCATATCTGTATTTTGCTAACTGATACATGCTGTCAATCATCTCAATTTTAAACTGGAACAATATCATTTATTACTTTTGTAAAATGAGAATACTATAAAGTCTCTAGAACACTGAAGATTCTTTTTAGAATTACCTCAAATTCTCTATTGGTAGTTAAATAGTTTATCAGAGTTTTTGGATCTCTCATGGTTTCCACAGTCTTCATTACATCATCCCTTTGCATTAGCCTGAGAACTGGTTCTACTGCATCTTGTAACTCTTGCAGCTGCGAGAGAACAACACCTCTGCGAGCTTTGATCTCCTATTTTGAAAAGATTTACTTGTTAATATGTAACAGAATTTATTATCAAAAATTTGATTTTTTAAGGGTTGTAAAACTACAATAAAGACAAAATAGAAATGTAATGAAATTGTTAAGGTTAAGGAAGATATTCCTGCCATATTACAATAATAACTTTAACACGTTATAACTTAATACATTACCGTACATATTATTACTTACTTCAGGAGTACTTTCCCTAGGATAAAGTGTCCCTCTGATTTCTATAACATAGTCAATCATGTTAGTTTTACTAAGAATCTCCAATTTAGCTTGCAGTAGTTCTGATTGATCATATGTCTGAAAATTTTCGCAAGTTTAACGTTAGTAAATATTATTCTGAAGTATTTTCTTAAAATTATTTTATTGGTTATTTACATAAATTTTTTTTAGAAACAATGTACCTCTTTTGCCGCCAAGAATTCTAAAAGTGGAAACACAAGGTGTCGGTCTAAATACTGACCAATTTTAAAAGTAAGGTCAAATTTTGAATAACTCATTTTTAATTATTTCTGAAATTAACTGCATAAAATAGCCAACAAACTCGTGTCGAGAAAATGACAGCTTCAATTCAGTGAATGTGTCATGTCAATTGTCATTTGTCATTGTCAGGATGTCTGTGAGCGTGGATCTGGATGACCAAAGAGAATATTTAATACCACAGCCGGATAAAACAATTGTTTTATTCGTCTACGCCTCACCAATTTCCCACTAAATTTTTTTAATGGAGCAGAATTATTATCTTTTTTGTTTATACTGTGGCGTTCGCCATATTAAGATAAACGCCTCATAAACAGAACAGACTTGTAACTTAACTTCAATGAATGCGCACGTGCCTGTTAATAAAAAGTAACCATGTTGTAAAGTTGTACCGAATATAATCAGGTGAAATATCTGCCTATCTTTTATTCGACGACCTACCGACCTCATGCGCCACGCTCGGAACTTTATCAACGACAAACAGTGGGAGAGGGATCAGCGTCGTATACTTGTTTACACGACTCCGACAATATTCCTATACGAGCACCCAACGGGCGCTCCCCAAAATACTCGATACAAGTTGGCAATGGGAAAAAAACCGACTTAATATTAAAGGGTAAAACTTATGTTTAACGTTTCGTTAATTAGCGCTATTATATATAACGAAATATAGAATGAAATGATAAAGGACAATGGCGAAAAAATTGTTGATAGAGATCTCAAGCGTCTACAATTAGCATAAATACAAATATAAATATAATAATTTGTCAGAAAAAATTCATTTGTTTTGAAAACTCAATTGACTAAGGATATCGGCGGTGGATTCGTAGGGCTTGTTTACCGTGCAATTAATGTTACCATATTATATATGTACAACAAAAAATTTCGGTATTTGAACCAAATCCATAAAGAATGATGGTCCTTTTTATTTTTTTTGGGCTGGATGAGCCACTGTTGGCCATAGGGGCCTTTACAGATCCGACGGACTTGAGGTGGCCTGGAGCACGAGGCGCCTAGCCTGAACCTCGGAGGTCCTATACACTGTATGTATAGGACTGATAGACCAATCACGAGATAAGACATTGAAATTACGCTTTAAATAAATTAATTAACAATTGTTAATACATAATAATAAAACCGTTTAAAAACTTTTAAGTTAAACGGTTTTATTTTATGTGCACTGAAAACTACAACATTATATTGTCATCTAAATTAAATGTGTGTACCAAATTTCAGATCAATCTGACAACGGGAAGGTGCTTAAATTTCAATTTCTAATTTTGACCCAAATAAATAAACAAATTCCGTACGGGTCGAGCTAAATAAAATCGTTTAAAAATGAAGTGCCGTTAGTTATTTAGCGTTTAAATATTTTGAAAATATATTTTTATACCATAAATACTTCTATAGTTTTAAAAAGTCACATTTCTGTGCTAAGAAGCAAGTTACCATTTATAAATTAAAATAATTTTTTTGGCATCGCAATTGTTTCTTAAACCTAACACAAGTATTTACTATACTTGTGTTAGGAATTCTCCATAATTAAATAAAATACAATTCCTCCATAATTTAAGCTTTGCTTTTATCCTTATTTGCAATAATACATTGATGTCAAATTTTAAAATGTTGAGTAAAAATGAAGATTATAAAATTGATTTTTTTTTTTTTAATATTCAAAAATGCAATTAGAAAGCTCATTAAATTAAGCATACACTTGACTACTTCAATTATCTCCATTTATCATTTCAATACCGGATAATGGGATTCGAAGTGGCGCATACCTGCCGGTTAGTCACATTTTTAAAGCTCTCTAAATCGTAAACTACATTTTATACTGAATAAAATATTTTGTATCTGGATTGAGGGCACATATAGGTACAACATAATCAAATATTACTAAAATCGGAGACATCAACTTTTTTTACCTGTCCGCTTCGTGTGGAATGCCCCACCTGTCAGTCTGGCTGACGACGTTAATTGTGAATATAAAATTAAAACATAATTCTTCTAAATACAATTTTAGGAGCTAGATTTCAGTCTGGCGAAACTAGGAACAAAAAATTTTTCTATGGACTTTACGCGGCAAATAATGGCGGACATTGCTATCACTCTCCCTCAATTCGGTTTCTCTTTCTTGCAATACTAGAGTGCCATGTTGTTTGTCAAAACTTAATTTTGCACCGCGTATTTTGAATGTAAATGCTTATTTCATTGTAAATTTAAATTGTTTAGAGTAAACTTTCTCACGAAAACTAGTGACAGGTGATCAGAGTTGTACATTTAATTCAAAATGCCAAAAAGACGGTTTATTACCAGTGAAATTGGTGAAAATCGAGCAAGTCATTCGAACCTTGAAAAAAGGATGTTTATGGCGAGATTTCCCTTAGATGAAGTCCATGTAAGCACTTAATTATGATACTTTGCAGCCATATGTAAGTGGAGCACGCTAAGAACAAATAAAATTAACATTTATCTCATTTAAATTGTGTGCTAGTGATGTACTGCAACTGTAATATCCACATATCGATAACTACGTTAATGTTCATCATTGAAAAAAAAATATGTTGCGTGAAAGAGTAGGGGCACAAAGTTTTACATATTTGAATGGTGTGCCTACATAAATGAGCGAGGATCGGAATAGATGAATTTTGCAGGATTTTGAAACATAATCTCTGTAATATTGATACGTCATATCATTAATTTCGTGCGCTGAGTATGTAAAATAGTTTTTATTTTATTTTTATGTTTCAATTATTTCCAGACTCGTGTACAGCAGGACAACAGCTGTTGGCTGAAGAATCAAGAGACAAGAAAAAAATTTCATTTCAGTAATAAAATTTTATTTGAATTATCAGAAACCGTTTTTTATCTTATTTCGGGTCCGCATTTAAGTCCAATCTTGTACTAGTACCAAATATCTCCTCATCAACATTGGACATAAATACGGACTCGATACTTACCTAAAATTAATTAAAAAAAATATTTAGTGGAAACCTCGCTTTCTACCTAGTATATTTTATCGTTATCGATAAGAAGCTAAGCTAGCTTGGTTATGCACTATTTGTCTCGTTACGTAGGTACTCCTGTTGTTTGACATCTTTGTGGTATGGTTGGTATTGGAGTGCCGCGTAAACTGATATTTTTGGCTAGTATGGAAGTCCCGTCTCTTAAACGTAGTGATTACATTCTCTTTGCTAGATTTTACCAATTGTGAACTATAAACGTACGTAGCTAATAACAAATAATTTGTGTATATTTTAAACTAAAGAAGAAATAATAAGCATTCTTAGTTTTCTAAATACTTTATTATGAACCAAGCCTGTGAACTCGATTTTTAACAATATTTTGCCAATTATTGGATTTGTGATTTTGATAAGGCCTATTAAGGTCCGATTTAAGGATTTATTTAATCAAATAATATTTTATGAAAAGTTGTATATTGACATCACAGAAAAGAACAGGCATTAACAAAAGAACGATGACACTCGACACAACTCTATGATGTAGTAAAAATCTTCAGCCTGTGTCTTCAACATCCTCCTTTTTTGACTACATCATTGTGAGTCCAATTTCTTTGGATATCTGAAGAAGCTTTGTTCTGTGGACCGCTTTTGTCAGAATGTCCGCCAATTGAAATTCTGTCGGTACCTACTCTACTGTAATACAGCCATTTTCTACGAGTTCTCTAATGTAGAAATGTCGTATAGCAATATGTTTAATTCTTCAATGCATTTCAGAATTTTTAGCAATCTTTACAGCTGCATCATTATCAACTTTGAGTTGAGGTACCTCTTTGAGAGGTGATAGAACGTTAAACAATCTTTTCAGCCAGAGACAGATCTCTCGAGCTACTTCGCTGGCAGCAACCAGTTCAACTTCTGTGCTGGATATGGCAACACAAGTCTGTCTACGACTGCACCAGAATATAAGCATAGAATTCCAGACATTGAACGTCCTGTGGTGGCATCACCCGCATGATCTGAATCACTGTAACATTCTAGGTTGCCTGTCTTGTATTCCTTTTTATAGACAATACCGTAGTCCAGGGTTCCCTTAATGTATCTCAAGATTCTCTTGACCCTTGAAACGTCTGCAGGTGTGGGCTTATCCAACCATAAGGTAGGCCAAGGCTCCTACAGCTTCTCTATAAGGAAATGTATTTCCATCTATTGACTCTTTCTCCAAATCATTCATATCTTCTTTGAAAATAGGAGTTGTAACTGTTTTACAGTCACTCATCCCAAAACGTATTAAGAGCTTTTCAGTGTATTGCTTTTGAGAAAGTTTAACACTAGACTCCGTTTTTGTGATTTCGAGACCAAGAAAGTAGGTCGCTAGTTTGATCGTTTGAAACGTCGTGTCAGCTCTTTCATAAATCTTTGTGATTCTTGTGGATTACTTGAAACAACCAGACCATCATCAACATATAACACCAATATGATTTTACAATTCCTGGTGTTTCTTATAAACAGACAGTTATCATTATCACATTGCTTGAAGTTAATAGATGTTAAATAGTCAACGATGCATTTATTCCAGCACCGTGGCGCTTGTTTTAAACCATAAAGGCTTCTCATAAGCTTGCATACGTTATTTGAACCATCATTATAACCCTCAGGTTGTTTCATGAAGATTTCTTCAGATAACGATCCAATCAGAAAAGCTGTTGACACGTCGAATTGTATTAGCGTTAGTCCTTCATTTGCAGCTATGCTCAATACTGAACGTATTGTAGCCATTTTGGCAACTGGACTAAATGTCTCTTCGTAGTCAATGCCTTCCCTTTGTGTATAGCTACAAGCCTTGCTTTAAATTTATCAAGAGATCCATCAGCATTTGTTTTAGTTTTGTATACCCATTTGCATGAAACTGGCTTTCTGCCTTTAGGTAGTGGCACTAAAATTAAAGTTTTCATCTCCTTAAGTGATTTCATTTCACTATTCATAGCTTGAATCCATTGGTTCTTTTCTGGACTTGCAAGGGCTTCTTGATATGTCTTTGGATCTTCACCACTTGATAAAATATTTGCGGCAAACATCAAAACATAATTACCATATCGAACTGGTGGTCGTAGTTGAGATCTATCTCTCAATTGCATTCTCGATTCAACAGGTATCTCATCTTCATGTATATCATATTCAGAGATTTGTCCGTCATTTGAATCTTCATGCTCATTTTCAGTTGGTCAGGTAAATCATTAAATGTTTGAGGCACATCGCAAGTGGGTTCAACGTGAACTTCAGATTGAGATTCAACTTCAGTTATTGGCAGATTAAATTCTGGCTCGCATTGCTTCTCACGTTCTAATCTTAAGTTGTAAAGGATGCTTTGATAATGGAAGGGCAAGATAGCATGACTTGTGATAATGCGGTGCGGAATTGTATCGCCTTTGAATCTAAAATGGAGAAAATCATTGAGCCAGCCATTACCATATTTTTGTGCAATAAAAA